CCCCCCCCCCCCCTCTTTTGTTTCTCTGGTCCCTCACTACGTCAGCCCCCCTAGACGTTTCACGCTCCCCGACTGCATGTGCATCAAGAAACACCAGCAATAGGCTGCTGCCTTCACGTCCGCACTATACTTATCTGGTTCCAACGCTACGTTGTACCTTATGCCTAGGTCTACGAAGTCAATGTTGTACGGCCTGGGCTCATCTACACTCCGCGACACCCCGTAAATCAACCCCAACTGCCAACCATTCCTCTCAGTACGCAAATAAATCTGTGCACCCTTCATCTCTACAGTGCGACGCTCGGGCCCTCCTACCCACGTGGCTTTCAGGGCATACCCTGGAGGTACATACAGGGATTCCCGCTCGCGCGCTGCAGCGCGCAGGGCAGCGAGTCTGCGGAAGTCGCAGAACTTTTTATTTTCTGCTCCTACTTGCGCTACCCCCTCCCCTAGCCAGTATTGCCTAATTGCATCCCCGTACTGCTGCAAGTTGTGCTCTGTTTCCCAAGTGGTCTTCCTCTGCCCCTTCCAAACGGTCTCAAACTGTACTGCTAAGGTCCCACCCGGTCCTCGGCTAATCCTGTGGGTCACTACTCGCAACGGCTGTGCCCTCTCCGTGTCGGGCTCTATCTCAACATCTTCCGAGGCCAGGTAGGAAGGGGGCGCTTGCTGCGAAAACTTATTCAGCACGTACGCACACAGCTTTCACGGCAAATACTTGGGGATGTTGTGGTTCTCGTGCGAGAGGAAACAACGCTTACACCTCAGTACTGACACTCGCCTACTGCCCTTCTGATCGTATGGGAACTCCAGAAAAAACAGTTTGGGACCTGCTACATGGTTCCCCACCTTGCACGGACCCACTCCCAACACCTTCAAAGGACCCACCCACTTGTTCGCTAACTTGCCCTTTATTCGCTGTTGAGTATTCCCCCCTGCCGTTGCCAACGTATGCTGCACATCGTACACCAATACCCACTCCCCAGCGGAAAAAACCGGTCGCTTGGTGATAGCGTTATCTAGCTGCTCGTTGTTGGCTCGATGCTTCTCCTTCGTTAGCCTATCACTCTCCACCACTAGTTGGTAGGCCCTAGCCTGTCGGTCTTCAGTCATCTGCAAGTAGTCGAGCTGGTCCTACTTGGTACTCTGCCACCCCCTGAACTCATTCCTAGGCCCCAATATCGTTATCGGCAACCGCGGGTACCTCCCTGTGTGGATCTCAGAAGCGGCTAGACCAGTGGCTTAGCGTACGTGGTTGTTGTGGCAGTAACAGACTTGCAACAGGTATTCATCCCAATCCGTCTGCTTAGAACAGACGACGTGAGACAACATGTGGCAAACGGCGTGATTCAGACGCTCAACACAACCGTTGGTGTGCGGATGAAAAGAACTCGTGTACCGCTTCTGGGCCCCCAGCATCCTGTATACATCCATGGCTACCCGAGCTGTGAACTCTGCCCCTCTATCCGACAAAAGATACTTCCGACAACCCCATCGAACGATGTAAATCATCCGCAAGCTTCGTGGCATAACCCTGTGTTGTTTTCTCTTCACTCGTCAACGCGTAGGGTTCGACATGTCGGCTAAAAAGATTGACCACCAACAGAAAATACATGTTCCCCCGCTTAGTTTTTGGCAAGGGACCCAAGAAGTCGAAAGCCACCATCTCCCCAGGCCAGGAAGGCAGCGGTAATGACACCAAAGGCCAGCGGTGAGCACATCTAGAGGTTTTGGAAGCTTGGCACTGTATGCAATGTGACACAAACCACCGCACGCTTTCAGACATACCAATCCAAAAGTGGTAACGCTCCAAGGAAGCAAGAGTTGCGTTATCCCCCGAATGCCCACTCTCCTTGTGTACCATTTCCAGGGCCCATGGTCTCAACAGAAAAGGTACGTACACCCGATGGGGTTCCCCTAACAACCTCTCAAACTTCCCACTGTTCTGGTCTGCCATACGACGGGGTTTTTCGGTCAGTTTCCGTACCAACAGGGCCGAATTGTCAGGCAGCCACAGCACTTCACACTTACTAGCCACAGTCTTCACTCGAGCCAAATCAATTTCTCCCCCATTGCCCATCACGAATGTAAACTCATACTCTCCCCCTCACTCAAACCAGAAACATATTTGATCACCGCCGCAGCCAGGGGATCATCTGCCTGCGCCGCGGCCCACTCGAGGTCCATCTTGCGGTTAAACTTCTCCCCGAAGCGGCTAGCTGCTACCGCTTGAGATTCTGGCACCGGGATTGCTCCCGCCGGGGGGGCACGCCGCCGAGGTGTTCTACTCCGGAAGCGCCGCGGTGATGGTGACCGGCGTCCGCGGCTGGGAGGGGAGGGCACAGTTGGTGCGGCGGCTGCGGGATCGTTGGGGTGTAGTCTTGCCTCTCTTGCGGCCACCGCGGCCGTCCTCCGCTGGCCGGGCTGTGTCGTGGTGGGATTGGCTGCCGAGTCGTCTGCGTGCTGTCGCGCGGTTCTCACGGCCGCCGCTGCCGGCCTTTGCTGGCCAGGGGCTGTTGAGGTGGTGGCGGCGGTGGGGTCGTCGGCGTGCTGTTGTGCCTCTCTCTCGGCCGCCGCTGCCGTTCTTCGCTGGCCGGGGGCCGTTGAGGTGGGGGCGGCGGCGGGGTCGTCGGCGTGCTGTTGTGCCTCTCTCGCGGCC